CGGTGCCTGGTTTGGCCCAAAAAGGAGCGCAGCTGCTTTGAGTTATAGCGTGCAGCAAAGTCAGGGATAGTTTGTGATAGGACTGCAAGATTATGGATGAAAAATAAACACAAATCAAAGGTGCATTGCGTCAATTTTCAAATGTTTTTCTCCGTGGAAATGTTGTTGCTTTGTCCGGAATGTTTCTCAGTATTGTATTAAACCTTTCTATCTCCATGGAGACCAAACCAGATTAAGTTACAGCTCAGATCTGTGGAGAGAATGCCAGTATTTAGGTATTTTTGAGCTATAAAACCACCTGCAGTGTTTCCCTTAAATAGACCAATTTGGCACAGCACCACAGAATGAAAATCGAGCACCACAAATTGATTCTGTCTCTTTTTCCTTTAGTAGTTTCTTATATCTAATTGTAGTATTTTATTTGTGTTATTTTATAGTTGTTATATTATACTATTTATGTTGTTTTACCAAAAAAAATGGCTATGGGTCTTGACTTAAAGGTTGTATAGAGGATTTTTTTAAGAGAAATACAGCGACAGTCCTTGTGCGCGTTCAGAATTACTGTTGAAGTTTCCTGTCTAGAGGTAATTTATCGACCGACGCGTCAGTTTTTAGATCCTTCGTCTGTTTCATTCGCGCCATCGGTGGAAGGAATCTCCAAGAATCACCTCAGTTTGTCTTTGCTCCTTTTCTCCTTCTCTTCTTCTTTCAGCGACCTCAAAAACCGACTTTCTTTTGCGGCGAACTGATCGTGGATTCTTTTCCGCTGTCGCGACAAACTTTGTGCGAAATGCGAGGAAACTACAGTTTGAAAAAGCCTCTAAGAACTGCCGCATAAACCACGTAATCCCCGCGCTCCGACGACTCAGTTACACTAGGGAGTTTGATTGACAACCTGACAGCCAATAGAAAATGAGGGAGCCTCATTTTCTATTGGCTGATGTTTATCTGTCCTCACTACGTCCACAGTTGATAGATTTTCATTCTTTTTTTTTTGGTCATCATAATTACAAAGCTGCTGCGTCTCTGTAATGGTATTTTAAACTTTCATTGACAATTTGAAACAAAAAAAAATCCTCCATACAACCTTTAAGTATTTGAAATAAAAAACCTCAGGATTTACTTTTTGTAATTAATTCCTTGAATGTCAAAGAATCTAAAGTTCAGGTAAAAGCTAAACTTTAACTCGGCCTGTGGAAAACATTGACCTGTAGTTGAATAAATGTAAAGTAGAGCTGTTTAATGTCACACTGTTGAACATTTTAGGCAGAGCAGTGACGTATCCATAGAAACAAGCAGGTGACGGACCCCAAATTACTAGGGGTGTAACAATAACCAAAATATCGTGATATCGTATCGTCAAAAGTGTCTCAGTAATATTGTGGACTGTCACAATATATCGAATTACAAGTTTCTTTGCTTAAATTCATTATTATGGTGCAGCAATAGCTAAAAAAACAGAGGGAACTACATCGACCATGATCCTAACTACATGAAGAAATAACAGAAGCCATGTATCATTTGTTCATTCGTTTTTCAAAATAAAAACCAAAAATAAGACAATTAAAAAACAACAATTTTCTTCATTATTTGTTTCTAAAACCGAAATGAAAAAACAGATAATGATTTGTTTATTTCAGTTTTTGATTTTGTGTTTAAATGAAAAATGGAAAAAAAACAGATAACAGCAGTTTCCCGTTTGATGCCCGACTTTTGCGCCGCGTACGGACTGAACCAGGACTAAACTAGGGTTAGACCATGACTAAACCAGGACTAAACCGTTTTTAATGCTGGTCTGGTCCCCTTCTCAGTCTCTGTCTCAGTCCTGGTCTGGTCCTAGTCTAGTCCTGGTCTCAGTCCCGGTCTGGTCCCGGTCTCAGTCCTGGTCTCAATCACAGGCTGATCCTGGTCAGGTCTATGTCACAGTCCTGGTCTCAGTCCCAGTCTCAGTCCTGGTCTCAGTCCCAGTCTCAGTCCTGGTCTCAGTCTCTGTCTCAGTCCTGGTCTGGTATTAGTCTAGTCCCTATCTCAGTCCCAGTCAGATCCCAGTCTAGTCCTGGTCTCAGTCCCGGTCTGGTCCCGGTCTGGTCCCGGTCTCAGTCCTGGTCTCAATCACAGGCTGATCCTGGTCAGGTCCATGTCTCACTCCTGGTCTCTGTCCTGGTCTCTGTCCCGGTCTCAGTCCCGGTCTCAGTCCCGGTCTCAGTCCCGGTCTCATTCCTGGTCCTGTTACTGGTCTCAGTCCCGGTTTCAGTCCTGGTCCTGTTCCCGGTCTGGTTATGGACTCAGTTCTGGTGTGGTCCTGGTCAAAGTCCTGGACTCAGCCCCAGTCTGGTTATGGTTTGGTCTGGTCTGGTCCTGGACCTGGTTCAGTCCTGGTTCAGTTCATATGCGGCGCAAAATCCCAGCATCACAGTTTAAGTCACATAAACAGGAAACGGCCTTTATCCTTTTTATTTTTCATTTAAACACAAAATCAAAAACTGAAAAAACAAATCATTATCTGTTTTTTCATTTTGATTCTGGAGACAAATAATGAAGAAAATTGTTGTTTTTTTTGTTTTCTTATTAGATTTTATTTTGAAAAACAAATGAACGAACGACACAGTGATTCTTTTCTGTCGTCTTTTCTTTGCATCGGGAGCGCGCTTGTACTTCTGTGTAGATCTGACCCTGAACCGTAAAGCAGCCTTGAGCTTTTCTCCTACACTTTTACATTATGAGGTTTATAGACTGACGCGTGATTGTGTGTTCTCCGTGAAGGTGATGAGCCATAGGAGCCCAAAGGCGTTTCCAAAATTAGCCCGGGCCCTCGGTGAGAGCTCTGTCCTCAAATCAAGTTCATTTAATTCAATATATGCAAGACAAAGACGGACAAGTGTAGAGTTATAAAACGTACAGTATGTTTGCAAAGTCATCACAATATTAATATAGACCTGGGGAATGTATGGATTTACTGATAATATTGTGAAAGCTGTTTTGAAGATGAACTCAATTTGAATCATTGAGAAAAAACTTGATCCGATGGTAAATATGGAAGAAAATGGTAAAAATGGAAGAAAATGGTAAAAATGGAAGAAAATGGTAAATAATAACATTTTGGGGATTTTTCACAGTCACAATTTTAATATAATAAAGCACACGTGTCAAACATGCGGCCCGGGGGCCAGATCCGGCCCTCCCCAAGACCTTTAATCTGGCCCTCGGCTGATTTTCTACTAAAATATTTCAATTATATTTTCTATTAAAATCTTGCTAATTTTCTGTGGTGTTTATCATATCAGTGTCTCCAGTGTCTCTGTACGTGGCCCCTCCCACCAGAGCAGCACAAATGAAGACTTGTCCTCTTTCCAAACGCTCTTAAAGGACGATCGTTTTGACTGTTGACCATGATTCACCCTCATCATCAGAAAAATGTCCAACATGAGAAAAAGTGGAGCCGAGTGCAGGATTTTCCAAGAAAAAGTTAAAAAAGTTAATGTTAAAACATTGTGTAACTTGAAATTGCATTTTTTTTTTTTTAGTTTCAGGTTGTTCATAATATTATAATATTTGGTAAAAGAAAGAGTTTATCAATTAAAAAAAGATTTCTGTAATAGATTTGCGTTTCTCTGCACAAATATTTGAACTTCTTGTTATTTTTGGGGTTTATATGACATGAGTTTTCTGATCCGGCCCCTTTGGGATCAAAGTCGGTTGGATACGGCCCCCGGACCAAAATGAGTTTGACACCCCTGTAATAAAGCATTTCTGTGGTTATGGATTTACTGATAATATTGTGAATGCTGTTTTAAAGACATGCACAATTTGAATATCGAATAAACTGTTTATAAAATATAAAAATTCTGAAAAACGAGAAATTCTTGGACTTTTGTTTCTTAACCTATGGATAAAGTAACATTTGTGCAGATGTGTGGGTAATTTTATAATATATTGTTTAATAGGAATGTAACAATAACTAAAAATATTGTGATATCGTATCGTCAGAATTCTCACAATAACATCGTAGTCCATCAAAATATATCGAATTGCAAGGTTTTTTCACTTAAAACAGGCATGTCCAAACTATGGCCCGTGGACCAAATGCGGCCCTCAGACAAATTTTTCTTGGCCCTCAGGCTGAAAACTTAACTTTTTATTCTAAGTTTTTTTTTTTTTAAATCTACCTTCATAAAGCGAATATTTAACATTTAGTGTGTGGTTTTAAGGATAGTAGCATGAATAAAGGACTGATGGTTCATTCTAACCTGTTAAATATGCACAAATTTCAATTATTCACTGTACTGAGCACCAGTCTACTGCCCTCGATCGGCCCTCCGCTTCATCTGTGTTTAGAAATGTGGCTCTTAATGAAAATAGTTTGGACACCCCTGACTTAAAAGTATAAAAAAAAGAGGGAACTGCACAGGCCATGATCCTTTACTTACTTTACTACATAATAAAATAACAGTTTTTAAGCACTTTAAATCTTACTGCTTTGGAATACGGCAATAATGATTCACACTGAAGTCAAGGTCAAGGTATTTAAAAATGAAAAAAAAAAAATAAATAACGTATATACAATTCTGTTAATCCCTTCAGGATATTGCAATAATTATCGTATCGTGAGACACATCATGACAATATCGTACCGTGAGATTTGGATATTGTTACATCCTTATTATTTATTGCTGATTGTTGCTATTGGAAAACTAAAATTATATCAGGAAAAAGAAAAAAAAAAGAAGTTTTAAATTTTTGACAAATATATGGGAAAAATTAACAGTAAACGTATTTATTTACTGCATAACCACAGCTCGCTCTCTGATTTTTGAGCTCCCTAGGCCTATTTTAAGAAAAAAAAAGTGTCTGTGATCATCCCAGAAGGTTATTTCTCTGTTATGGTTCAGAGTGAGAGGAGGGAATGAATAGGCGAGGTTAACTCTTCAAACTAAACATGTTTTTTACTCGTGGTTCAAACTCGTGTACAGTCCTTTTTAACCTGATTTCTTTTTCCACAGCTGTTCATGCAGATCGACGCTCTCTACCCCAAGAGATTCGGCACGTGGTCTGACTACGCCAAGAGATACTGCAACGCCCACTACAGGTACACCAAACATAAGGACAAAAGGACTATTACAACTACTACTATTTCTACTACTACTCATACAAAATAAACCAAAGTATTAGGGATGTAACAATAACCGAAATATCGTGATATCAGTATCGTCAAAGTTCTCACAATAATATCGTGGACCATCACAATATATCGAATTACAAGTTTGTTTGCTTAAATGAAGAGTTATGGTGCAGCGAAAGAGAAAAAAAGACGAAGGGAACTACATAGACCATGATCCTTTGCTCCATTTCAGTGTAAACTACAAGAAATAACAGTTCTAAACACTTTTAAGTTGTAGTTTTTTGGATTACGTCTTGTCATTAACAGTTTTAGCTGTTTAGTCTCCACAAAATATCGCAATAAATATCGTACCGTGAGATGTATATCGTGAAAATATCGTAAGAGATTTGGATATTGTTACATCTCTAATCGTGAGCTTTCCCACAATATCGCAATACTATATTTTGATACTAGTAAGGATACAACTTTACAATCTTTTTTTTTTTTAATGTATTTTTTAGCATTAGATTTTTTTACCCAACTCAAAAATATAGTTATTTGTGATGTAACGTTATTCCAAAAATAATAACGAAAGCTCACATTTTGTTATTTATACAGTATGTGACTTATTTATTTAGAGTATCGATACTAGTTTTAGTATTAATTTGAATCTAGGTATTGATATTTTGGCACGTTCTTGTACTGCTAGTACTTCTACAAACTTATTTTTATTTTAGTTAAATTTTTTGCTTGAAGAAATAACTAGGGCTGTAACGATATCCAAATGTCTCGGTACGATATTATCACGATACGCATCTCACGATACGATATTTATTGCGATATTTTGGAGACGGGACACTTTTTTGATTTTAAAATACCTTGACAAGATTTTTGTGTGAATTATTTCCGTGATAATCCCAAGAATTCAAGTAAAAAACATATATATTCATGTTGTTTGAGCTGAAATGCATCATGGGATATGTAGTTTTCAATGTTTATAAGCTGTTACTGTTATAAAACGATGCATTTAAGCAAAGGAGTTCCTGATTCGATATTATTGTGAGACTTCTGACGATACGATATCACGATATTTTGGTAGTTTTTTGTTTTTTGACTTTTTTTGCAATAAAACGCTTTTGAAACCTGTACACTAGTCACATTTGAGCATGATTCGACAAAAGTTTGGCTGTGTTTTCCTGTGATTTAAAACCGTCTCTACACTCCCACAAAAATAAAAATTACAAATAGTTAAAAATATTGCCTTTCTCGTTTCCCCGTTCAGCGTTCACACGACGAGAGACTGTGACCACACCAACAGTTGGACCAAACACGGTGTAAAAGCAGCTAGACTGAAAACATCTCACCTCAGCTTTCATTTGCACTTTTTCCTCCGAGAATCTGCACCCATTAAACACGTGTCCTGGTTTGGTCCCGGTTTTAGCTCAGTGTCCTGATATAGACCTGGTTTGGTCCTGTTTTAGTCCTGGTTTAGTCCTTTTCTAGTTCTGCTGGTTTAGTCCTGGTCCAATTGTGGTTTATACATGATTTAGTAATGATTTAGTCCTGGTTTGGTCCTGATTTAGTCCTGGTTTAGTCTTGGTCTAACCCTGGTTTGGTCTTGGTTTTACCCTGGTTTAATCCTGGTCTAGTCCTAGTCTATTCCTGGTTTAGTTCCTGGTGTAGTCCTGGTTTAATCCTGGTCCAGGCATGGTCTAAGCCGAGTTTAGTCGTGGTTTAGTCCTTTTCTAGTGCTGCTGGTTTAATCCTGGTTTAGACCTTGTTTAGTCCTGGTTTGATCCTGGGTTTGTCCTGGTTTAGCCTTGATCTAGTCTAGTCGTGGTTTAGTCCTTTTCTAGTGCTGCTGGTTTATTCCTGGTTTAGACCTGATTTAGTCCTGGTTTAGTCCTTTTTTAGTGCTGCTGGTTTAGTCTTGGTTTAGCCCTGGTTTAGACCTGATTTAGTCTTAGTTTAATCCTGGTTTAGACCTGATTTAATCCTGGTTTATTCCTGGTTTAGACCTGATTTAGTCCTGGTTTAGTCCCTTTCTAGTCCTGATTTAGTCCTGGTTTAGTCTTTGTCTAACCCTGGTTTGGTCTTGGTCTTACCCTGGTTTAATCGTGGTCTAGTCCTAGTCTAGTCCTGATCGAGGTCAAGTGTAGTTCCTGGTTTAGTCCTTTTCTAGTTCTGCTACTTTAGTCCTGGTCTAGTTGTGGTTTAGATGTGATTTAATCCTAGTTTAGACCTGATTTAGTCCTGCTTTAGACCTGATTTAGTCCTGGTTTAGACCTGATTTAGTCCTGGTTTAGACCTGATTTAGTCCTGGTTTAGACCTGATTTAGTCCTGGTTTAGACCTGATTTAGTCCTGGTTTAATCCTGGTCTACTCAGGGTCTAACCCTAGTTTAGTCCTGGTTTAGTCCTTTTCTAGTGCTGCTGGTTTAATCCTGGTTTAGACCTTGTTTAGTCCTGGTTTGATCCTGGGTTTGTCCTGGTTTAGCCTTGATCTAGTCTAGTCCTGGTTTAGTCCTAGTCTAGCCCTGGTCTAGGCCAAGTTTAGTTCCTGCTTTAGTCCTGCTTTAGTCCTAGTTTAGTCCTAGTTCTGCTGGTTTAGTCCTGGTCTAGTTGTGGTTTAGATGTGATTTAGGCCTGGTTTAGTTCTGGTTTAGTCCCGGTCAAGTCCTAGATTAATCCTGGTCTAGTCATGGTCTAACCCTAGTTTAGTCCTGGTCTAGTCCTAGTCTAGTGCTGGTCTAAGACAAGTTTAGTTCCTGGTTTAATCCTGGTTTAGTCCTTTTCTAGTTCTGCTGGTTTAGTCCTGGTCTAGTTCTGGTTTACATACGATTTAGTCCTGATTTAGTCCTGGATTAGTCTTGGTTTAGTCCTTTTCTAGAGCTGCTGGTTTAGTCTTGGTTTAGCCCTGGTTTAGACCTGATTTAGTCCTGGTTTAGTCCCTTTCTAGTCCTGATTTAGTCTTTGTCTAACCCTGGTTTGGTCTTGGTCTTACCCTGGTTTAATCGTGGTCTAGTCCTAGTCTAGTCCTGATCGAGGTCAAGTGTAGTTCCTGGTTTAGTCCTTTTCTAGTTCTGCTACTTTAGTCCTGGTCTAGTTGTGGTTTATATGTGATTTAATCCTAGTTTAGACCTGATTTAGTCCTGCTTTAGACCTGATTTAGTCCTGCTTTAGACCTGATTTAGTCCTGGTTTAGACCTGATTTAGTCCTGGTTTAATCCTGGTCTACTCAGGGTCTAACCCTAGTTTAGTACTGGTTTAGTCCTTTTCTAGTGCTGCTGGTTTAATCCTGGTTTAGACCTTGTTTAGTCCTGGTTTGATCCTGGGTTTGTCCTGGTTTAGCCTTGATCTAGTCTAGTCCTGGTTTAGTCCTAGTCTAGCCCTGGTCTAGGCCAAGTTTAGTTCCTGCTTTAGTCCTGCTTTAGTCCTAGTTTAGTCCTAGTTCTGCTCGTTTAGTCCTGGTCTAGTTGTGGTTTAGATGTGATTTAGTCCTGGTTTAGGCCTGGTTTAGTTCTGGTTTAGTCCCGGTCAAGTCCTAGATTAATCCTGGTCTAGTCATGGTCTAACCCTAGTTTAGTCCTGGTCTAGTCCTAGTCTAGTGCTGGTCTAAGACAAGTCTAGTTCCTGGTTTAGTTCCTGGTTTAGTCCTGCTTTAGTCTTTTTCTAGTTCTGCTGGTTTAGTCCTGGTCTAGTTCTGGTTTAGATACGATTTAGTCCTGGTTTAGACCTGGTTTAGTCCTGGTTTAGTCCTTTTCTAGAGCTGCTGGTTTAGACCTGATTTAGTCCTGGTTTAGACCTGATTTATTCCTGGTTTAATCCCGGTCTAGTCATGGTTTAGTTGTGGTTTAGTCTTGATCTTACCCTAGTTTAGTCCTGGTTTAGCCCTGGTTTAGTCCTGTTTTAGTCCTGTTTTAGTTCTGTTTTATTCCTGGTTTAGTCCTGTTTTAGTCCTGGTTTAGCCCTGGTTTAGTCCTGTTTTAGTCCTGGTTTAGTCCTGGTTTAGTCCTGGTTTAGTCCTGTTTAGTTTAGTCCTGGTTTAGTCCTGGTTTAGTCCTGGTTTAGTCCTGTTTTAGTCCTGGTTTAGTCCTGCCTGGTTTAGTCCTGGTTTAGTCCTGGTTTAGTCCTTTAGTTCTGTTTAGTTCTGTTTATTCCTGTTTTAGTCCTGGTTTAGCCCTGGTTTAGTCCTGTTTTAGTTCCTGGTTTAGTCCTGGTTTAGTCCTGTTTTAGTCCTGTTTTAGTCCTTGGTTTAGTCCTGGTTTAGCCCTGGTTTAGTCCTGTTTTAGTCCTGTTTTAGTCCTGTTTAGTCCTGGTTTTAGTCCTGTTTTAGTTCTGTTTTAGTTCTGTTTTAGTCCTGGTTTAGTCCTGGTTTAGCCCTGGTTTAGTCCTGGTTTAGTCCTGGTTTAGTTCCTGTTTAGTTCTGTTTTAGTTTGTTTTATTCCTGGTTTAGTCCTGGTTTAGTCCCTGGTTTAGTCCTGGTTTAGTCCTGGTTTTAGTCCTGTTTTAGTTCCTGTTTTAGTTCTGTTTTAGTTCCTGGTTTAGTCCTGGTTTAGTCCTGTTTTAGTCCTGGTTTAGTCCTGGTTTTAGTCCTGTTTTATTCCTGTTTTAGTCCTGTTTTAGTCCGATTTTAGTCCTTGGTTTAGCCCTGTTTTAGTCCTGTTTAGTCCTGTTTTAGTCCTGGTTTAGTCCTGGTTTAGTCCTGGTTTAGTCCTGTTTTAGTCCTGGTGTAGTCCTGGTCTAGATCCAGGTCTTAATGTGGTTTAAGTTTCCTGTTTTTGTTAATCACCTGTGCATAATAATAAAGTGAACAGTAACAGTTGGTGTTTCTCTACCGTCTCTTCACCTCGGCGACTCATGTTGAGGTTTTACTGAGCGGCTCTGTGGGGACGGCCGCTCTCCTGTACCTGACTGTAAATAACCGACGCACTTTTCTCTTCGGCGTCCAGAGGAGAGACGGCGCCAGGCCCGGAGTCTCGGTGCCAG